GCAACGGCGGGGTGGTTCTGGCTGCGACGGAGAATGATGGAGACGAAGACGGCGGCAAGAAGAGCTCGGCTGTGGTGGATGTGTCGGCAGAGGATGCGCAAACTCAGGGCGGGTTCTTGGGCTGGAAGGCATATGTCGACGCGTTGAACTTTTCTGACTTTGCGGTCGCGTTGTATCGCGGTGTGGGGTGGGTGTTTATGAGGGAGCCGGGCCGGGGTTGAAGGGTGAGGACTTTGGGAGCGTGGAGATGTCAACTTGATTCGATCCATTGCAAGTATCACATCTCAATCATGATAATCAGTAATGGAGAGAGGTTGGCATAGATACTATACACCGAAAAGCGTGCGATATGGCGTATGGATGATTGGACTGAACGGCCCTCAAGTACCCAAGAATATCCCTTACCAAGGCATCCTTCCGTCGCTCTAAACTTCCAATTCCTCGCTGGCTGTGCATTCTTGCCAAACCTCTCAACCCACAATACATTTCTAGGATAAAAGTTGTCGCCAGTGGATGTTGTAGGGTATAAAGTCGTGTCATCTGCATCCGAGTCCTTTCCTTTCTGATCTGCTGCAACCAAGTCGTCTCCATAGATATGGTAAACCTCAAAAGACAAGATGTGAAATGCTCAATTTATTGGCGATAGCGGTCTTCTTCACACCACGCAAGAGCTACTAAGAAGTTACTCGGCTGGACATATGTGGCTTATGCAAGTATTCGGGCCAGCGCAAAGCTACATTGCGACTGTCTGAACACCAAAGGATGACGAGGCGTCAGCCCTACCCAACGCTCACTACAACCGTTTCTGGGGTAATTAGCGCGGTCTAATCCGTGGGAATCTTTGGGCATACGACGGGGCTAGTATCTAGACTCAAGCTCGGGCGGAACTAGGCATTCCTTCCCGAACACGTCGCTCGATCACAGCAACATCTTCCAAACGGATTCCCATTGTGCAAAGCAGCCCAATCAGCGCCCATCGTAGCGCGACCGGGAGCTATGCATGCTCGGGACGATCTTCTGTGCTGCGCGCGCGGCGGTTGTGGTTAATGGAGCCACGCTCACGCTCTCGCTATGCAGCTTACCTTACCGGGGCTGAAAGTCGTCGCCGAAAGGATGAACTCGCTACGGCAACGTCGGCTCCCTACATGTACACGGCGAAGGATAAAAGGAATCCGGACTGATAGCATTTTGTATAAGTTCTCGTCATTTGCCGCCCTGGAATGTAATAATTGTTACAACCAGGAAGCAGAATTCGACATCCTCAATCCATCAATAAATCGCAGCTCAGCCTTCGGGGACCTTTCCGACCACGTTCTGCCGAGACCGTCAAGATGAAGTGCGAAAGAGCCTTGCAATGCATCGTCGGTGGTTGGGGCTACCTCAACGCCACGTTGACGTAAGTCAGCCATCAAGACGAAGCCGTCGTCTTGCATGCTATTTCCCCCCCCCCCCTCCCTCGATGCAAAATACTCACCACCTCCCAGTAACACCAACACCGGCGAGCTCATCCCCGAATGGCACAGCATCTACCCCTCCGGCGGCTCCGTCTACGCGCCCTCGGGCCACATCTCCTTCGTCATCACCGCCAACGACACCACGCAGGCAGACGTGCGCCCCAAGGACGTCTCTCTCCCCGCCAAGCCCACCGACTCGGAGCACGACTGGGCCCTCGTCGCGCAGCACAGCCTCGGCGTCTTTGGCAACTACCGTTTCTCCAATGTGACCTGCGACGGCGGAGATGACAAGCGCGGCAAGCGCGGCGACAAGGTCAAGGGTAAAGACGGCAAGGGCGAGAACTGCAAGAAGGGCCCCTCGGGCGTGTTGACGGTCGATGTGACCTCAGCCACTCTTCCAAGCTACGTTGGGCTCGAGCTCGTGAACACATTTGAGTTCACGGACGACTGCAGCAAGCATATGCTGAAGGCTGACTTTGGCGGCGGGTTGGTCCAGACTGTCTGGTTCTACCGCCTGCCTCAGAAGGATGTTTTTGCTTAGAGAAGGGTGGTGACTGATACTCGGTGTGGATGCTTGGTCCTCATGACACGATCCTCAGAACGGCATCGGGTTTCAGTCATGATCGGCCAATGTTCTCCAATGACATGGCATCGGGATATAGGTTCGCATAGATTATTGAGTAGCTACTTTAGTGCCTGTATATAAAATGAATATAAGATATGTTGCCTTTGATGGTTTTGTTTTGGCAGTGGCTTTGACCACGAACAGTGCATGTTGATTTTGATATCGCCAAAGCAGGGAAAGGTGGCGTTTGTTTGAGTGACGAATTTCCCTCGGCTGGCAGAGAGCCCTTCTGCCTAAATTATCATGGCGTTGACTCATAGTAAGCTGCAGTATTGTCGGAAGAATGCCGGCCGATCCGAGCTGCACGTTATTCCGGTGCATCTCAGTCGATCTACTGATCAGGTTAATAAGATAAGTGGGCTCCTGGCTGCATCGAGAAGGTGAAAAGGTTAGAAGTCCCGGGAGGGTTGCGCACACCACACCACCATGCAGTCTCGCCCAATGAGTGATGCCTGTTCATGGTTCATCAGCCTCGGAGCCGATCGATCTTGTATCGGACACCGATGTCAGAGCTGTCAAGCAATAGCTAATAAGTCGTCAAGACACCGCTACGAGGTTTGCCGCTTTCACCTCAACAAGAACACCATGCCCGAAAAGGATATCACCAACTCGCCTTCAGTACCCGCCCTGGTAATCAACAATGACGATCGAGAAAGGCAGCAAGTACAAGATACCGACGCAACAGGCCTCGTTCGCGACCGATTACAGAGCTTATACGATGAACACGGGGTACGTACTCGCGAAGACCAACATCCACATAGCATCGCATTTACAATTTTTCAACCCTAGGCCACTTGGGATAGTCCTGACGATCCAAATGACCCATACAACTGGTCAACATGCCACAAAGTCAGTATCGCCATTATCATTTCAACCGGGCAGTTGATCACGCTTATGTCTACCAGCGTCATGGCGTCTGCATTGCCGCAGATATCAAGAGATCTGCGCATCGACGCGGCGACAACACAAATCACGTTCTCGTTGTTTGTCTTAGGCCAGGCCTTTGCCCCCTTCCTAATCGCCGCTCTATCGGAGATGTATGGCCGAAAGCCCGTTTGGCTCATTTCGTGCTGTTTCTATCAACTCTGGAACGCGTTGTGTCCCTTTGGGAAAAACAAAGGCATCATGATAGCCGGCAGGTTTCTTGCAGGCTGCGGGGCGAGCGCTGGAGTAGTAGTGAGTCTCTCGTTCATTGCCTTTCGTGACATGTCCAGCAACGCTAAGAAATCGGCGCCAGTTGACGGCACCCATTATGGCCGACATGTATCGGGCTGAGGACCGCGGCAAGTCGCAAGCAATTGCGTCTCTTATCCCATACTTCGGTCCAGCTTTGGGTCCGATTGTTGGAGGGCTGGTAGCAAATCATGTCCAATGGCCTTGGCTATTCTGGATTTTGAGCATGTTCTCAGCAGGTAATACCATTTTGGGGCTCGTTTTGGTTAAAGAAACGTATACACCAGTCTTGCTGCAGAGAAAACGTCGTCTTCAGAGTGAGAGGGTTCCACCAACAGAAGCAATGTGCAGAGGCGCAGCGTACCGAGATCTTCACGCCCGCCTGTCGACAAATATGCTGCGACCCCTCAAGTTGTTTGTTCGACGACCTGTCATCCTTGTCATCTCCTGGATCTGGGCAATCAGCTTCGGGCTCTACGTTCTCGTCCTTTCTAGCTTCGCCACTCTTTGGATCGAGCGGTACGGGCAGTCAGAAACACAGAGCACGCTGAATTACATCGCCTTGGCCGTTGGGATCACCATCTCGTCTCAGGTAGGAGGCCCGCTGATGGATCGAATCTTTCGTTACCTCCGTACCAAAGCCAATGGTGTAGCAACCCCGGAGTTCAGAGCTCCGTACATGGCTATTGGAGTAATCTTGTTGCCAGCCGGCCTGTTCTGGTACGAGTGGGCGGCAGAGCGAGGTATGCATTGGGCGTTTGTGGACGTTGGCGCAGCCATCTTTACCTGTGGAACGTTCATCACAGGCTCGGGAATAGGTGCGTACCTGATTGACGAGTTCAAACACGCTGCATCTGCCAACGCTGCCGCTCGTATGCTATCCAATGTCTTGGGATTTGTGTTTCCCATTTTCGCCCCGCAACTCTTCGAAACTCTGGGATTTGGGTGGGGAAACAGCTTGCTGGCATTCATCTTCATGGTGCTGGGGCTACCTGCGCCGCTGATGCTCTGGTTTTGGGGCGAACGGCTGCGGAATTTGGGGAAAAAGGGTCATGAATGATACTTGGCAGTGTCTTGTGTAACGATAGCTGACATTGCCACTAATGGACATGAAGGGTGCTGCAATCTTTCCGCTTGTCTCGTCGCGAAAAGGACAAAAAGCCCAGCACAGTGGTGGAACTCAGGATGAGGCCTTAGTGATTCAATCCTTATGCACGATCAGATCACTTTGAATTTGTGACTTCCATATGCCACGTTTTGGTACATGCTAAATCATAATGCGCTCGGAAGCGAGCTTTTCTGGGAAATAGTCAAAGACGCCGCCATTCTGGTGACCATTTGTCTTGCCCGGAGCCTCGGGATAGGGTGCTAGTCCCTGCGGCGTCGTATCTCGGAAGCGGCTAGCCCGCGCCACGCGAATGCTACCCCGGACCCGCTGCCAGCATCATCGAAGTCAGCCCTAGACCGTTTATCGCCGTTCATCAAATGCCGGATAGTCTTTATGGCGGGGAAACAGTCCGAGCTCGCGAATGAGTCCCGTTTGCCAGCAGAAAGTGAGAGGCAAACCTAGCCACGTGCATCTTGGCGGTTAAGAAACCCCTTACATACCATGGCCATTATCGCGTGGGCACCTAAAAATTATAAAACGATGGCGAGTGCTCCCTTACCGATCCCGCAGAGGCTGCCATGGTTGCGGCCAGTCACGAGAATCGTCGTTCAAATACCAGCTGCCGCTGGATCGAGCTACCATGCAGTACTCACTGATCGCCTGGTCCGCGGTGTTCACCCTACAACTTGGAGCTTTTGCCACTGATTGGGTACCAGAGATTCATGAAGGGGTAAGTAAAGCACAATGTGTAGCTACATGCTTTGTCTGACGGAATAGAAGTGCAACCTCCTGGCTTCCCAGCTACCAGGAAGAGTTTCTTTCCCGAACTCCACGCAATACGCGTTGTCAAACATTTACTACTCAGGCCGCCAGGCAGAGATCCACCCCGCCTGCTTCGTGACGCCCGAAGACACCGAAGATGTCGCCACCACGATGAAGATTTTGACTTCGTCGTCGATCCCATTCACGGTCAAGAGCGGTGGCCACACAGCCTTTGACGGAGGGTCCAATATTGCGCACGGAGTGACCGTTGATTTGGTACGCCTCAATCAGATCGTCCTCTCCGATGATCGCCAGACTGTCTCGATCGGACCTGGCAATCGATGGGCGAATATCTCAGAAAAGCTCGACCCGCTGGGCCTGGCCGTTGTTGGTGGACGAGTCAGCGACGTCGGCGTCAGCGGGCTCATCCTCGGCGGTGGCATATCGTATTTCTCGGGACGCTACGGATGGGCCTGCGACAATGTCCGCAACTTCGAAGTCGTCCTGGCGTCCGGCGAAGTCGTCAATGCTTCCCCACAATCCAACGAGGATCTCTTCTGGGCTCTCCGGGGGGGCGGCGGCTCAAACTTTGGCATAGTCACACGCTTCGACCTCGTGGCTTTCGAACAGGGCGATGTTTGGCTGTACACCGCGCTGTACCCCCTTTCCTCCAGCACCGAGCTTGTGCCTGCGTTTGTGGACCTGTCAGTCAACGGCCTGCCGGCCGATCATGACGGACATACGTTCTTCATCATGACAAATCTTGCAGCACTCGGCGGATTTATCATTGCGAACTACCTTTACCACGCCACGCCCCCTACCACTATTGGAGATACGCCCGAAGTTTTTGTCAAGAGCGCATCCGTCGCCGGCTCATTTCTGAATACGACCACTGTAGCAAACATTACTACTCATTCCAAGGCAATCTCCGAACCCTATGGAGGGCGCAAAGCCTGGGCTGGGACCTCCGTCTATCTGGGCGAGGGGGCAGCACAGCTTCTCCAGGACATCATCCCGTTCTATAAAGAACACGCCAATCTTCTCATCGAGACGGCGAAACAGACTAACGAGACAGTGGAGCCGTTCTTCGTGTATCAGCCCATCACGGCAAACATTCTCGACGCGATGCAAAAGAACGGTGGGAACGCATTGGGACTCACACCGGAAAAGGGCCCACTGGTGCACATCCAGGTGACAACACACTGGGAGACAGCGCATCTTGACTGTCTGGTGAGACAGAGTGCCGCAGACCTCATCGCCCAGATTCAGGCTCTTGCGGAGGAGAGGGGCTTGTTTGCAGGTTATACGTACATGAATTACGCTGAGAAGAACCAAGACGTGTACGCTGGGTACGGACAGGTGAATCGCGAGCGATTAAGAAGCGTTGCAGCAGCTTACGACCCTGATGGACTTCTCAGAAGCCTTTGGCGGGGTTATTTTAAACTTTGATGTTTTCAAATTCTTACCTAGTAAGGATCGATTTCTAATTTGAGTGTCTTGCTGTTTTATTCAATGGGAATTTTCTATGGGATGCAACTTGACTTGAGCACCGAAAATTCCGAAAATTCCAGACAACATTGAATATGGGGTTTTAGTTGATTGGCTGGGGAAATCTCTCTTCCTGGACAGAGGACAATTAGGTCGTTATGGTGTTGCATGGGCACCTCTATCGGAGCCTAGACCTTGATTGCTCAAGCTCTGTGCCACAAGCGCCACTGACCCGCCTATCAGCAAATACCTGATGCCAGTCGCACATCGGACACAATTCCATGAATTTCTGTTAGCGTCAGGCAGTATTCTCCGAGAGAAACTCAAAAGGCCTCAGTTCTCTTTTAAGAGCAAGGCAGCCCCCCGTCTCTTTCTCAGGCCTCCATCACTCCACACATCAATAATCGCCGCATCACGTCTTTCATCATTATGTCTCATTTATTTCGTCTGCCGCGGGAGCTGCGCGAGATTATTTACGGATACTACACCACCGTCGATGGCGGGTACCTATGCGACACCGACGCTTTCGTCGCCGGTCGGCTCAAGAGGATTGACGGACAGCCCATCGACATAGCCTTGATCTATACCTGCAAGACTATCGCTGAGGAGATGGACCGCGGAGGCCTCGCGATGCGCCTCAACGCCATCTCCTTCACAACTCTCTATTCACCGGACCTCAGCATCCTCGCCAAAGCTTTCCAGCAATTGATGAACGACGGCCTGGAGCCCCTCCGGGATGCCATGCTCAAATGCGTTGGCTACCATCTCACGGAGAGTTCAATCTTGCAGCTCAAGGGCGACTACCCTTACCTCGCGCCCGTGCTGGACCGTCTCAAGTCCGAAGAGCCCCCAGCGCGCCTTGGACATGAACGGAGTTACCGGACCTACAGGCGCAACGGGCCGTACGGCGAGGTCCCCTCAACCTATCGGGAGTTTGTCAAAGATGCGCTGCGCCTAGCGGCAGATGAACCCGAAGCCTCACGTGCGATACGTGACTTCGTGCCTGCGAAGATTACGGGGTCCTACCGCGCGGACGGGCCTTGGACTCATTTCGATATTGTCAACGCCCGCTCGGAAGCGTGGGACATTCCATCCACACACGAGATGAATGAGTTGATATCTCTCACAAAGGATGAGACAACCGTCTCTTTTGACTCAGCCGAATCCGACCCTGTCAAATACCGGTTCTCCGCCGCCGCTGCCGCCATTTACTTCCTGAACTCCGTCCCTTGTACCCTTCGCCCTCACCTCCGCAAAATCATACTCCTCGAAGATGCCAAATGCGTCTCAAACCCAGAGTCTCATGCTAGAGGACTCATTCCGTTCTGCCAGGACAATCCGTTGCTCCGCGTGGAACGCCGCGTCAAGCTGTGGACGAACGTATTCCTCACGGGCATCACGTACGATGCATACCTTGAATGGCAGTGCGCTCAACAGACGGGCCAACATGAAACCGGCGTCCTGTACTCCGACCAGATAACTGCGGCCTTGGGGCCCTGGATTGTGGAGGCGGCGGCGCTCGTTGGAGCTGGCATGCCCCGGGCCTCGTTTTCACTGCTGTTAGAAAGCGGTGGAGCACCGGAGTTGTGCAGCCAGATATTCCGGTCCGTCTTGCACCGCGATATAGCATGGCAACAGGCTTGGATTGAAAGCGCAAGAAATGGAACTTTGGACCTTTCGTGGTTTGGCCTGAGAGGCACGCTTGCGGCCAACTCGGTAAGGGAAAGAGACCATGTCTTCCATGCGGGTCCAACAAGGGGACCGCAGAACTTCTACGACTTTGCAGGATACTTTTTCGAAGAGCTCCCACGAGTGGTCAGAGAAATTTGCGAAGGTAGCTCGATCATTCGGTGCGATTTCGAGGTAGGAACACCGTTTGATTTCCAGGCCATCGTCGACGATCACAAGCACTGGGGCGATGGTAAATGGATTCAAGTATGGTCCAGCCATTCCCCAGCGATTTGGAAGACCTCCCTGACTGGAAAACGATTGTCAAGGATAATCTTGTGGTCAGCAAGGGACCACTGGGACGACTCAAGATACTACATCTAGCTGCGAAGGTGAATGTCCTACATGCAGGCTCGAGCACCATGTTTTCTGATTTCAATGAGCATCAGACTTGATCAGACTCATCTTAGTTCTTTACACTATCAATTTCAGCACCCAACGACCCCAGCGGGTTGCCGCTGAACTTGCAGTACAGGACGCCGTAGGCTTGCATTCAGGACATGATCCGATTGAAACACGAGAACCTCACAGATGTACAAGTGTCACGGAACGAGAACAAATCATTTGAAAAAAAAAAAAAAAAAAAAAAAAACGCAGCTTCTATGTACCCAGTATAATAATTCCGGAGCAAGTCAATACCCCGACAGTCGCTTTGGTTTTGTTACCCAGTTTTTTAGTGTTCTAGAAAGAGATTTTTTTTACTAATAAGCTTCAAGGCATCAACAGATATGCTGCCTGCTTGGAACGGGTCAGTCTAACGTCAGAGAGGGGCGGACACAGATCACTGACCATTTGGCCTCATCTTTCAAGGTCACAGACAACCTTGAAGGCAAGGATCAGCATGGCTATAAAACTAGCCAAGCTGGCTGCTCATCATTCATATTAGCACAAGAAGCATCAGAAAGGGCATGGAGACCAAACTTACCAGGGATTGTGACACTACATTAACCCCCTCCACAACATCCTTGTCAATCTCTTCCAAGATGGCTCAACTTGACCCTGCCGACGTTCACAACATGGAGATGGCCATAGCCTGCCCAAGTAGGAGAGATGAGCCGCGAGTCCGGAATGATGGTCAGCTTTCAGGTCGACTTACTGGCCATCCAAACGATCCCGACTTCCAACAATATCCTCGCTTCTACACAAATCTCATCAAGAACATCGGCTTCAAGAGAACAGACAAGCCCATCTCGATAGACAGCAAGATGAACCATCGTCAAAGAATTCCTGATAACATATTAGCTGCAGTTCGGAGCGAATTCGGATGTTGAGCACTTACAGCTTGGCTTGTTGAGCTGTGTATGGCTTCTAGGAGGCCCAACGATGAACCGGCCGCATGTTGCTCGCGTACGAGAAGCCCTTGAACACATGCTGGCGGCAATCGACGATGGCACTTCGTGTCGACCCTCGGAGATCGCGTTGTTGGAGACGCTGAGAACACATGTCAGTGACCCGTCTCACGACTTGGGGCGTTCCCGACTTACCCGGCGACGTTGGCGTGGCGGATGGCTCTGTTGGCCGAGATACAGTGGTGTTGGGCGTGGGAGGATTCGCAGTAGTGTGGCTGCTGTCTCCTCGGGTCAGCATGTCACACCGAGCATGGCGAAGAAATAAACTTGTGGCAGACACGAACAGACCTGTGAGTACCCTGTTGATTAGTCTCAAAAAGTCTCTTTTCTGTTGCGCGATAGCGTCAGCTGGGTTCTCTGGAAGAATACCACGCGTTTCCTAGCACTCACTTGAACCACGCAGCTTACATAACGCAGTTACCTGGGGCCGAGGCCCGCAGGCATGAGAGGAAACAAGATCGATTGCGGAGACTACGGAAGCTAAAGCGAGCGACGTTGACAAGAGAGAACTAAACGGACAAAGGTAAAGCGAGTGACATCCGACAAGAGCAAACTGACCAGACAGAGGTAAAGCAAGCAGCATCGCAACAGACAAAGCTCAAAAGAAAAAGATAAAGAACCCAACATACCAGCGACAAATCCGTCCATAAGTGATTGGATTGCCCATCCACATGAGTCCGTTCAACACGGCCATACAACAAAGAAACATCCTTGACATATCCTGACCTTGTAGTAGAAACAGCCTGACCGTCTTCAAACAACCTGAGAGCCCTGCTGAGAGTCCTGCTGAGAGTCCTGCTGAGAGTCCTGCTGGGATTCCTGCTGGGAGTCCTGCTGGGATCCTGACTCCTGCGACTCGGTGACCAACGGAAGCAGGCGCTTGTTCCGCCATCTCGCGGGGGTGGGCGAGCCGTCCGCGTTGGCATCCGAGTCGGTCGGCCTCGCCCGCTTGGCCACCGCACGCTCCTGTCCTCTCTTGAATTGTTCCACTTCCTCGGTGCGTGGCATCCTCTTCTTACGGGCGCTGCTTTGCGGGGATGAGGCGCCGCCGGGCCGGTGCTGATTCTTGAGACTGTCCCAAGAGCACCCGGCCGGCGAGGTAGACGGGCCCCCTCTGTTGCTGTTGCCAGCGCTAGCACTCGTGGGAGAGTGAGCCGACGAGAGGGATGCCGTGCGCGACCGGCTCTGACGAGGGTTGAAATCTTCCCCGGTGACGAACAGAGAGACGATGGGAGGGGACGACGAGGTAGGTTCGCCGCGCGAATAGGTTAGGGACTCGTTGATATCTGTTTGTGAGGAGATGGGAGTCGTGTTGGAAGACCCCCGGGGAGTGGAAGGCGCCCGGGAGTTTGATTGGGCTGTGAAAGCACGAAGTCAGCTTACCGGGCGGCGTGTCAAGAGGTCCACAAACAATACTCACAATCCGATGATGCCGTGCTTCCATTCTCAGAGGCCTGCGATGACTGCGATGCCTGCGATGCCTGCGATGCCTGCGATGCCTGCGATGCCTGAGATGTAGAGCCCATTGTCACGAACCTGTTCCTGCGGGATCTGCGGCTCGAGCCTAGATCGACACCCGTCCAGTTGTTCAATCCTGCGGCCGTCGCTCCCGACCCGAACTGGAAGTCCGGGTCTTCGGGGACCACCATCAAGACCGTGTCGCGAGGCCCCGTGGGAGGGTCGACCATGGCATGCTTGGGCAAAATACCGACCACGGTACCCATGCTGCATGCGAAGTTGCTGTTGCGCCGGAAGGGCGACTGAGGGGACTGGGCGAGCCTTCTGTACCTCTGCGCGTACGGGCTTTCGGTGATCGGGATGATGACAAAGATACAAAAGCCATGGTTGCCCTTTGCGAATGTGGCGTGGCTGTTGCCTGGATCGATGTAGGTAGACAGTTGGACGAAACCACAAAACCTTCTCGTCACGGGGGTCAAGTATCCCTTCCTCAGGAGTGTCTCCCCGGAGCCGCTGACGATACCTTGAAAGCTGACGCACGGGGCTTTCGGAAACAACGTAGGTGGCAGAGAGGTAACCGAGATATTGACGTCTTCATCGTACCCAGTGTCAACCACGGTTCTGCTATTGATTAGATCGTTGCATCAGGCCGAAATGGACGATGATGTGAAGCCTCACTTTCTGTAGCAGCCGTCGCGAACGACAAGGACTGGCGCTGTGTAGTTCCTGTCATCAGGTCCTTCCCCATCCTGGTTGGGAGCTTGGGTGTTGGCGGATTCGCCGTCCTTCTGGTTCTCGCTGATCGTAACTGGGTTCTCCGGTGTGGTCCCTTCAAGGTCCATATTTCTCCAGTTCAGCTGGTATGGATGCAGGGGTCCACTAACTTCCAAATAGAGATTGCTCCAGTTGGTGAGGAGGTTTGTAATTTTGTTTGTCCCAATGAGCATGCTCAATTCAAATATTTGGACGGGTCCATTCTGGCTGGAATCGACTGAACGGCGGCTCAGAAGCTGGTAAGTTGGTTTCATGAGCCACAAGGGGGTCGAAATGGGCATTTCCAACAATTCACTCCCCGCCAAAAGTGCGGATCAGCTGGTCGCCGCGCACATCCAGCATCCAATACTCCCGCCATTACATCTACCCAGACCTTGAACTGTCACCGAACCGAGAAACCAGTTCCCTCATCAGTCATTTTCAGCCGTTAAAACCTGCAAAATCGACGGGGAAGGAGCGATGAGGTTGAAATCAATGGTCCGTGCCCTATGTCGCTGCCAGTTTGGGCAACAGAAACAGACGGGTGGAAATGGCACTTGAGCCTCCTGCAGGGCCCTAAAGCTTCAGTGGACCTCTTCCCCGCATCGGACCAACACAGTGCAGCGACGCAACGCGCACCACGCGGAATAAGAAAGGATCCAAACCATCCCAACTCGGGCATCGTGTCAATCAGATCCTGAAAACATTGGATGACTAACGACAGAATAGGGGCTGATGCCTAGTTGCATCGTTTTCGTTGACATCACCTTCGTGCCAACTTCACGATAACTACCTCGACCTTCCTGTTGCCAACTCGACTCTGCTGCCGCTTCTGCCTGGTAGCCTGCCTAATTGAAGCCAACCCTGCGCACATCGTCATTTTAATTGATAAAGGCATAAAACGCCTGCTCGCGCCTGCCTCCCTTTCCCTCATTCTCATCGCCACCTCCACTGCCGCAGCCCGACAAGCCCCTCCCCAGATCATCTTCAACCTCCAGAATTCGTTCCAGTCTTTCCGCACAATGACCTCCTCAATTGCCTCGTGGTCATCACCACCACAACGCTCCCGTATCCGGATCGTCCAGGATCGTGATGACATCGAGGCAATCTACCCCCTTCTCGCATCGTACGCCCTCACGCCAGATTCCGCTTCATCCGTCACCGAGTTCGCAATTGACCCTGCCGGCTGGCCAAGCGGCAGCAGCTGCTTCTTCGGTGACCCCGACGCCCCCCTCACCGAGCCCGCCAAGCCCGTTGATGAAGCAGCCCACGCCCTCCTCGAAAGCCGCGTCCGGGATCTCGGGTTGACTGAAAAGACGACACACGTCATGCTAAGGTCCCTGGCCTGGAAAAAGGCCCACCTCCTCGCCCAGAACCCTGATTCGCCAAAGGGCTTCGTCAAGCATAACAAGCTCTATGCCGAAGTCGCCGCCGTGCTGCTGCTCTCGTACACAAGGAACGTCACGCATCTACTGGTCGGCAACCTGGAATGGACCCCCCTTTTAAAAGAGTACCTCAAAAGGTCAAATTACGCCCTCATCCCCGCCGACTACCGCGCCTTCCCGCAGCTCGAGACCGTCGAAGTCGTAGATCTATCGTGGAAGGACGACGAGCGCCACTACTATACCCTGGAAATTCTCGACTATCTGCACTACTTCCACCGCCTGCCCAGCTTCAGAAATCTCATCCTTGACGGCACCGGGGAGTACCAGATGGAGAAGCTCCTCTTCCCCGCCGGGACTTCCTCCCCCTCGTTCAAGCGCATCCAGGCGAGGTGCACAGACATATCCGGCGGCGTCTTGGGAATGCTCCTCAGGGCGCCCAAGGGTCTGGAGAAAGCTGTCGTCTCGATGGGCGGGCTGTGGTCCATGGACGGAGGGAGCCCGATTGTCCAGCTGAAGACGATCGGCAAGAGCCTGCTCACGCAAAAGGAGACCCTTCGCGTGCTAGACCTCGACCTTGAGAATGGAATCCACGCGCGCGAGTCGGAAGAGGAAGCCGGGATGGAAGACTACAGCCTGGATGAAGAGGGCGAAGAGGTCATTGGGGTGACTGAGGCTACAGTTGAGAAGGACGAGTACTTCGTCCTTGCCGAGGCCGACGCAACCGGCCCGCTCCTCCCACACAGGATCCCAGATACCAGGAAGTACGGCTACACCATCGGCTCCTTCCACGACTTCGCAGCCCTCACACATCTGAGCATCAACGTCCAGGCGCTCATGGGCCCCAACGACGGATGGGAACCCCCGTACAAGCTGAAAGAGGAGCCGCCCTTCCGCCTTGTCGATGCGTTGCCGCCCAGCCTGGAGTACTTGTGCCTGTACGGATATCGAAAGGGGGAGAACTTTGCAGTTGACAGCCATGTGAAGGAGCTGTTGGAGAAGAAGGCGGAGAGGCTGCCGCGGCTGATGGAAATCAGGGGCGTCGAGGAGACGGTTCTTGGCGAAGGGACGAGCTTCGGTGACAGCCCCCAGGAGGACGATCTCTACCAGGAGAAATTGGAGAGGATAGAATACGTCAAATCATGGGAGGCTTAGCATTTCAGTGAGGGAAGAATACACCACGATCTACGCTAATGCAAGACCTGTTCAATGTATCGAAACCTCGTGTTCGAATTAACTCTTCACTGCTCAGATATCCATGGTACAGGTCATCCGTGGAAATACCTCACAAAAGCCACACAGCAAACATCCCAAGCAGACCCAGCACACCCCACGAAACCCTCCCACCCAACACCCCGCCGCTCTCCGGAATCTCGCTCCCCACCGCCGCCGCCTGCGCCCGCGCGCACACAAACGACACCAGCGGCGGCTGCGGCAAACTCGCATTCGACGCGTTCGCCTCCCGCGCCATCCACGTCTCGTTGAACCCAAACGCCGCAAACATCGGCCAGAAAAACCCCGTATCCTGATGATACGCCGTCAGATTCCCCTTCTCGCCCCAGTCCGACGCCCACTGGAACACAGCCGAGCCGTTCACGTACGGGATCATCTCGTCCGCCACCGCCTGTCCGTCCCCCCACGGCGCGAACATGGCGTGCGTCTCCCGGTCCAGGGCGATCTCGTAGCCCTGCACCCAGCTGCTCGCCGTCGAGCATGGTAATCACCGGGCACGCGGCGTCGTTCGCGAACGCGGGTTTGACGAATCTGTTCATGAACTCGGACTGGATCGCGGATGTGAGCCAGGCGACGCAGGCGTCGGACCAGACGGCCTGGCAGTCGCCGGCGTCGTGCATTTCGCGCTGCGTGGCGGGGGTCCAGGTGATTGGCGGCGCGATGCTGAAGGCGCAGACTTTCCAGGTGCGGTGGTGGCGGTACGCGGTGCCGTTGTGAAGCGCCGGCGCGATGAGGGCTTCAGGGGGCGTGAGGGAGAGGACGCCGCCTGAGACGTAGGTTGATGTGTTGAATATGTGGGGAGACTCGGTGTGGGCTAGGGAGATGTCGGCTTTGATGTCGAGGGAGATGGCCCAGGTGAGCGGTGTGGTGTGCGTGCTGTCGTTGGCGGGGTACGGGGCGGAGAGGTTGGGGCCCTGGAAGGGGAAGTGGCCGGTTGCGTTGGGCGGGGACATGAGACGGCCCCAGGTCGCGGGCGGGATGTGGTAAGGTGCGCGGGTTGAGTTGGCGGTGATGATGCGGTCCGCGTTGGAGGCTTCGGTGAACTTGACATCTCTTGCGTAGATGGTGGTGATTAGGAGGTGGAAGCAAAGCCACCCAGAGAGCATGGTGGATCTCATGTCTGGGATAGTACAAAATCTGGATGAGTTATGAGAACTTGAACGATGACAACGTGTACAACAATCAGGATGCCGTGGGGTGGACCCTCTCGCAGAAACGAAAGAACGAAGATTCCTGGATTCGTGGTACTCTTCATACTGGTTGCCCAAAGCCTTATACCCAACCTTTTGGTTTAGTTCCGTTTCCCGTGTCGTAAAACTGAGGCCACTGGCGCCGACAAAAGGGGCACGAAAAGGCTTTAGGCAGAATAAGAAGAAACCGCCAAGTCGTGCCAACTCGTGTTGGAGGCTTGTTCTGTTGTTGCGCTTGCTTTAGGCAAAAGCATTGTGACCCAAAACAGCTCCTTGACACGCGATTGGACATGGCTACCAAGTGGGAGCTGTGCCTCCTCCAAGCATGTTTAATTGACCGAACAAGACGTTTAGAAGCATGGTCACTTTCTCTCATGACTATTGATCTTGGCATGCGTCATTCTGCCGCTTCGTTCGTAGAGTTGTCGCGCTTGGATGGGGTGTTCCCCTTTTCTACTTCAAGCGAGCTGAGAATGGGTGCAACACTGCAATCCACTGGGGTCAAGATGGAGAGGGAGTGAAGGTCTTTCAATCTTGGTATAAGACAAGAATTATTCCAAATGGTATACCCTATATTACAGAAATCTTCAATTATCATTGTTCCTCTGGCTAAAGACACTTGAGGAAACTCATCACCCTCAAGACTCCCAGTAGCCACTGGGAGCTGACGAGAACAACTACAAGACAGGGGAGGCTCGAGCAAGCAACCTCCGTTCCCACGGGAAGCGTTCCCGCCTTCCCGGAAAGACCCATGCAACCCTCAATCGCGGAGCTCAGCAGCTACCCCTGTATCCCGCACCAACAAAGGCTACGATATAGCCCATGTGGTCATACGCCTCAATCTGGCAGTACGAGTCGAACTCGCTTCCGTCGATGCTGATTCCAGGCTTCTGCAGGCACTGCGCAAATGTTTAGTATGGTCTAACATGATTTTGGTACATGGGGTCAATGGCGTACGGTGCCGCTGTCGACGGTTCCCTAATATGACGTCAGCAAAAGGAGAGTGGAACTGGGATGGCAGACTGGAACGTGCTCGATTGCCAAAGTAGGCTTTGCAGGTGTTGACAGTAAGGTCTTGGTCGTAGAACCACGGTCCGCCCTCGTCGTATTGCACGCAGCAGTTGTGTCTGGTGTGGTCCGGGTGGGCGCTGTGCTTGTTATTAGTCGACGCGCTGTCGGTGGCGTTTCCTGTGGCTTTACTTACACGACAGCAGCGGCCGCCGCAAAGACAAAGTATCCGACGCGCATCTTGGCGATGAAGAGCCCTTCAATCTGATAATTGGAAATGTTAAGGAATGGCAAAAGGGCAAGATGCTGCCGAGATACTGGGCAGAGAGGCGGGTTGCATTGGGCTGCTAAATAGTTGGCGAATTGTGCTGGCTTGTGTTTACGAGTTGACGGGAACACGGCTTTGGAAGAAACTCAAAATTTTAAACTCAGACCGTTTCTGGAACATTGTGAGCAGTTGTTAAATTGGATCATGTTGTATGATCATTCTAACAAGGCGCCCGGATCGTGGGAGTTGTTCTTAGTCCCGACAGCCGGTGGGCTGAGCCAATGCGCGCAACGATGGCATAATACGAGAAGGGTTTCCTCGCCATCTTCCATCCCAAGGCAGCTTTTGATTTGTTGGAGAAATCGTCATGTGTGAGCACAGGCCTATCCGTAGACTGGCCCTACCCGAGTGTTCGTAACAACGCTTAGCACGACTCGTGATGCCGAACATAGTGGACCACGAAATTATGTAGTTTGATGATTTGCGGTGCTCATTAACGAAGAACGCCAGATATGCGGACACTAAGTGGGTTTTGTGGCCAGCTATGACGGCCCCGAAAGTGGTCTGGTCAGATGAATCTGTGTCTTGCCGTTGATCCGATACACATTATGGATGTCGACAGAGCTGGAGTCGTTTAAACTTGCAAACCTCGTTCTACAGCCTCAACGCCGAGAAGATGCTTATGACATTTATTGTCACTTAGAACTCAAATGCGTGCCAGATTGGACGCAGATGCTCGGACCACAAGAACAAACAAAGAGTTCCTGTTCATACGCACTGATGGGACTTGTGTCATGTAGACTCGCGGAGCGAAAGATTGGCGTGGAAGTTCATGAAGGCACGTCCCTGGTCATCCCATCGGTTGCTCATCAAAAGATCGTCTGAATTAATTCTCCGTCACTCTGGGTTCAGTCGGCTAGTCCGTGCGTGAAAAGCTTGTCTTCCTTTCACTTGATATGCCGCAGAGCCCGCGCCCTACGGCGCTATTCGACGATAATCCAACCTTGTTCTTGACTCAACATACAGTCTCATTTGAATAAGTACACATGACCAGCGCCCACAACCCGCAACAGTGTATCTTTATTCATATTCTAGCCCAGTCTTTGAGCGAAGACGGCCAACGCAATGGCAATGGCCGGCAACAGCAGCATAACCAAAACCAGCCCCGGATCCAGCTCCTCCAACGCCAACTCGCCGCTTGCAGACAGCAAGCTGAGCGGGAAGCTCGGCGGGACCGCTCGACGACGCCTCTCCACCCTCTCCAGCAAACGCCGCCCAACGTCGGGAATCTCGACTACCAGACGGTGGCGGTAGACCTCGGCCTTGTGGCGCACATACAGCGTCTGCAGCTCCGCGTCATACGACCAGTCCCCGTCGCTAACCTTCGCCTTGATCCCCCCCTCATAGTGGTACCTCGGTATAAACACCTCCGTCGTGCGCAGCTTGTCGTCCTGCTCCTCGCCCACGCGGTCCTGGCTGGTCCACTCGAACTCGTACTTCAGCGTGCGCGGGTCCCAGTCCGATCGCAGCGGCCGGCCGGCAATCTTAACAGCGTACGGCCGGATCACGACGTCGAGCACGCGGCCACCGCGGTACAGCTCGTCCTTAGCGTGCGGCGCGTTCGCGTAGTCCTGCATGATGCGCCCGGGCACCTCCTCCGCGTCGCCGTTCACGACGGAGAAATCCTCCTTGTTCCAGCCGTCGCCGTACTCGACGCGGTTGTCCGGGTTGTAGTTCCACAGCGTGAAGCCGACCATGTTGTCCTCCATCGCGGCGATGAGGGCGTGCATGAGCTCGCGCTGCTTGTCGTAGTTGCCCGTGGCGAAGGCCTCACCGCCGTTGATGTCGTAGGGGATGCCGACCTCGCCGATGAGCGCGGGCACGTGGCCGCCGAGAGAGGCTTTGCCGTACTTGATGATGTTGCCGAGCTGCGCGCGGTAGTTCTTCCTCAGTGCCCGCGCGCCAAAGTAGAGCGCCTTGAGGATGAACATGCCCCTGGAAAGACCCTGCACGTTGACGCTCATCCATGAGTGGTGTTTGCTGAATAAGACGTTGAGATCGTAGAAGTGAGGCCCGAAGACGAGGTTATCTGGTCGTTTTGTGTCGATGACTGTCTTTGTGGCGTAGTTCTGCTTCTTTGGACTTTTGGCTTCTCCCGGGTTGCCATCTACCCAAGGAGGCATGAATTCGTTCGGTATTGGCTCGATAAAACAAAATTGGCGTGGTGATTTCCGTGAGACACGGTCTGAGAAGCGCTTTAGAAAAGGGGCGTAGAAGTCGCGGTACCATTCAATCGGCGTCCCCTCGCGTCCGGGACGGTGATCGACCTCGAAATAGTTCTTCTGGAGTACCTTTGGTTTCTTGTTGGATGCGTCCCAGTCCCATGCTCCGTGAGCACGCCATACGCACTCGCCCAGTCCTAGGTTCTTCCCTTTGGACGTCAACCAAGCTGATCGGCCCTTCGGGTCCACGACGGACCGATGAGAGATCCGTGTGGGAAATGGCCATGACTTGACGTAGTAGTCCACCTCTTGTGCGTAGCCACTAGCTAGGGCGAGGGCCTGCGTCAGTGATGGGTAATGGCCGATATGAAGATCAGTGTCGTAGTTCCATCCGTCGAAGCCATGCAGGTTAATCAAGCCACGATGTGGCTCGTTCATCGGTTCGAAACCGATGCAGGCTTCCAGGTCAGCCACTTCATCCGCCAACCGCCCAAAAGCTTCAATCAACGCATCTTGCAAGAAATCCTTTACCGAAACGGTCTCATCTTTGCCTGATTTGCCCTGCCGGCTGCATACCAACTTCGGCGCAAATACATCTCCCGCCCAGAAAAGCGTCGCCATCGTCGAGGCAGCCAGCTTCTGGTACCCTGACGGCCACACGAACGGGCCACTCGGCTCCTTCTCATTCACCGGCGCAGTCGCACGGCGCAGCTCATCTTGCCCGTGGACATATGCGGCCCCCGTGTCCGTGAAGGCCTCAACGTCCAGGCCGGCCACCTCAAATGTCCATCCGGGTGCACCGCTGCCGCCGCTGAATCTGCTCCAGACGTCCTGGTGTGCGCAGATGAAGCACTTGATGCCGTACGTGGGCATCATCTCGACGAGTTTGCGCAGGTACTCGATGTACTCGAGGTCCAGGTCCGTCCGGGGGTCCGGGCCGGCGTGGCCGATGGATTCCCATGTGACGAGCAGCCGGATCAGCGGCAGACCCCAGGCTTGCAGCCGGCGGAAGTGCAGCGGTGCATCCTCGAGCGGGAACGGCCGCCCGACGAATGTGACGGTCCGGTGCTCGAAGAAGCCCTCGGTCAGGTGGGACAGGCCATTCGGCGTGGTGGGCAGCTTGCTAGCCCCGGATATGTTGAGGCCGTGCAGCGCCAGGGTCCGACCGTAGCCGTCGACGAAGAGACCATCTTTCAAGGCGATTGGGCCTCCCAGGGCCGCGTCGGAGAGGTCGTTGGCGGCATGGGATGTCGCCGGTTGAATAGGCGGTGACATGGTTGATTGTTTCGTGGAACACGAATCAACTCGTTGGTCGGTTGTGGTGTCTCATTACGCGTATTGATAGGTTGCTGGAAAGGGTCCCCTTGCAGATAGGACAGATTCGTTGGTTTTCATCTTAGTCAGCGGCTTCAGCCACAGCACACGATGGCCGTGCATTGTTCAAAGCCATTTCTGGATTATGTGGGTTTGTGGAGCTGGGGGGACAGCTGTGAGTTGGATGAATTTCCGTCCCAGTATACTATGTTGAACGGTCTTCAGAGCAAGAGATTTTGAGCATCGGGCGATGATTGCCGTTAGCAACTCGCATTCACATAAGAAAGCGCCGTGGCTGAGCACCCGTCCCTGACGAGAATCTGTATATGGTAATTAAGCACCGAGGCCCCACTGATCACCACTGAAGGTTTTCCCCGTCACGTCATCTGGAACACCGACATCGTCTCGAAGACTACTTATGTGTTAATTGGAATGACTCCCAGGAAATCCATGGAGAATGATGCTTATTTCTAGACTGTTTGATTAAAAACATTCTGTATATCTTTTTCAACTTCTGTCTTCAACTGGTCTCGTTAACAACTGCGGATGTCGTTCAGACGCAGAAGAACAATTACATGTCGTCAAGCTAGAAACGGATACGTTTGAGACATGCATATTAGGGTGCTGTCATATTTCATAAACGACGACAGAGTCCGAGTTGCCACAATTGATTCGGCATTAAATACATGAGTGGGCCAAAGATGGTCAAGGTACAGGAAGACTCTGAGAGGGACGCAGAATCAAAATCGATGATTTATATTACTTCGGCACACCGAATGCGACATCTCCTCGGCGGAGTTTTGGCGTCTGCCCGATTCCGATTCAGGCCCCAATGGTAATCTCCCGCCCGTTGCCAAATCGGCGTCGGCGCTCAACAACTCACCGAGATACCTGAATAATGTCTTATGACCTCAACCCTTGGGAAATGGGTGTGTCAAATACCTAGAAAGGTGTCCGAGTAATCTGACACGCGCGAAAAACTTGACAGCGAATACGTTCATTCAATCTTTCACCCAAACCGTTCGACAAAAATAGTGCCTGTACATACCAAAGTAGGCAAATTGAAGGAAGCGCCGTCCAATGCTTCAAGAAGTCCGAAACCAAAGCGGCCTTTGTTATGAGACAAGTAGCAACCGTTTCAGTCGAGCCGGTGGGCGCTGCCAGTGGGAGCAACCCTTTGGAGTTCGAATTTCTAGTGGGGTTCGTGTCAACCCAAGCTAGCGGGACCATCGGAGAATAGCCGACAAGACAAGGAGGACAGCTCCGAGTCGGCAGACCGAGTTTGCGGGTCGCTCCATCAGATAATCACACGGGCGCACAGCGACGCCTGAGATAAATTGATGCTTGGTTCTATTTGCGCCTCGAGGCCTGCGATGAAAAACGAGGGCCATGTCCTAACCACGTATGTATGAATAAAAGCCACCTTGTGAGAGCTC